CTGGACGATCGGCACGGATCGCGGCCGCGGTGACCACCCTCTGCGCACTCCGTATGGTGTCCAGAAAGTGCCACGCCTGCTATGCCTTGGACGAGAGGCGCGCATAGCGGCCGCGGTGAGAGACCACCCCCTGCGCACCCCTTCTGGTGTCGAGAGAGTGCCACGCCTGCTGCGCCCTGGACGAGAAGCGCGCACAGCGGCCGCGGTGAGAGACCACCCCCTCCGCACCCCCTGGTGACGAGAGAGCGCCACGCCTGCGGTGCCTGGACGAGAAGTGCGCGTAGCGGCCGCGGTGAGAGACCACCCCTCTGCGCACCACCTCTTGTATCAAGGGAGTGCCACGCCTGTTGTGCCTGGACGAGAGGCGCACACAGCGGCCGCGGTGAGAGATCAGTCCCTGCGCACCCCCACTGGTGTCGAGGAAATGCCACGCTTGCTGTGCCGTGGACGAGAGGCGCGCACAGCGGCCGCGGTGAAAAACCACCCCCTGCGCACCCCCTTCTGGTGACGAGAGAGCGCCACGCCTGCTGTGCCTGGACGAGAAGCGCGCGCAGCGGCCGCGGTGACAGACCACCCTTGCGCACCCCCTCTTGTATCGAGGGGGTGCCACGCGTGTTGTGCCTAAGCGAGGGGCGCACATAATGGCCGCGGTGAGAGACCACCCCCTGCGCACCCCTTGGTGACGAGAGAGCGCCACGCCTGCTGGCTGCCTGGACGAGAAGCGCGCATAGCGGCCGCGGTGAGAGACCACTCCCTGCGCACCCCCTCTGGTGTCCAGAAACTGCAACGCCGGCTGTGCCCTGCGCCATAACCCGCATAGACGCCGCGTTCGGGGTTAAGCAGTGCTGTGCTGTGCTGTGTCGTGTACGTGCTGTGTGTGTGTGTTTGTGTGTGTGTTTGTGTCAATGTGCTGCGTGCTGTGCTGAGCTGTGTTGTGCTTTGCTGTGGTGCGCTGAGCTGTGTGAGAAGGAGGAGGACAAAGAGGAGGAGGGGAGGTGAATGAGCATCGCGGGTGCGACGCGTCAGGGAAGAAAACCGGAACCCCACGAAACATGCGGGGGATGCAAACAATTCAGTGTCTCGCAACAGCGAGTTTAAACGAAAGGTTGCGCTCGCGCTCTTGCGTATTGTCAAGAAAATGCTATAAAACGGGCTTCGCGCGCGCATGTCGAAATCGTTCGAACGTCCTTGCGCGCGTACCGTCGCGAGGACTTCGTCTTACAAAATCGGGACGAACGGCGCGCGCGTCGTCGCGCGCGCATGCCGAAATCCGTCAACCACCTTTTGTCCCGCACCGATGTCAGAACCGAGTGGCCACACTATACACACACACGTATATTTATGTATTTATATATATACACAAGACTGCTTTGGCGCTGCGCGCCATGCACCTTGGCCCTTTAGAGTTCCGCGCTTTAGCGGAGTGCGTGCGTGCGCACATGCGCACGCACATGCGTTTATGGAAACATACAAAATATGTACACGTAATTATTCGTATGTTTGGGTATGTACACGTATATGCACATGGTCAGTGTAACTATGTGTGCGCTAACACATGCGTATATCAGGCGGCAGTGGCCTGACCAGCTGCTCCGGGCATCTCGCAACGCAAAGGTGCGAGGGTTTCAGGCGAAAGTGGCCATGCAGATTACCATGGTCCTTCAAGTTGAGCAAGCAGGCGGGGAGACATATATGTACATAGTCACAGAAAGCGATAACGCTTTGGTGCGGTTGCCGTGGCTGTCGCTCTAATAATGTTTTCCATTCCCTATCCGCTCTTTCCGTCATCCTTCATTTCCCGCTCATTCGCCGCCAGCCCGAGCCGAGCCGAGCTGAACCGGCGGGCAGGCCGAGCCGGCGGGCCGGTCGAGACAGGGGCGACGAGGACGACGACGACGACGACATCCACGATGACGACGACGATGACGATGAAAACGACGATGACTACGATGCCGGCTACGACGCTGACGACGACGACGAAAGCGACGACAACGACGACGACGACGACGAAGGCGACGACATACGAAAGGGAGAATGAGAGGGGGAAGCCGCTGCCATCGCGAGCGCCGCCGCAATCGCGTTGCCGGGTCGATGCCACTGAGGCTCCAAACGAGCCTCGGAAGGCGAAATCGGAATTCGCCGGTCCAGCGGGCCAGAGGCGTGCGAAGATCCCCAGTGCCTGTTAAACAACATTCTATTTCGCGAGCGCGGAGCGGCCCTTGGGGGTTCCGGGCCGAGCAATGCCCCGAGGCGGCCCTGGGGCGCCCGCCTCAGAGATGGGTTCCCTCCTCGGCGCGGTTCTCCAGCGACTTAGGCGTTCCTAGGTGGCCCCGCGGGCCTCCAGGGTGGTCCAAGAGGGCTCCGAGTCGCCGATCCATCGGTCCAGTCGCCGTCCGATCGGCCCCGAACGCCCGCGATGGCCGCCAAACAGCCGCAGGCGCCTCCGAGGCGCCTCCGAGGAGCGTCTGAAGAGGGCCCCAGCCCCGACCGCCGCGCGGGAGACAAAGGGGGTGCGATAGTGGTTCGTGCATTTCGCTAAAGGCAGTCAGTTATCGCAGCGGCCAGCTTCGGTTGCCCAGGAGTACACCGATCGCGGGCGTGCCTGCGCCCCCGAACTGGCGTCCAAAATGGCAGCCGCTTCCAGCGCGGCCTCGCCCCAATCGCGACGTAGAGGGACGTCTTGAAGACCGCGACGTGGAATGGCAAGTTCGGCGATCGCCTTCATGGGCGGGCTATTGGGCATAATCATGCGTTCCAACCCTTTGACGATGCGGGTTTCGAGCTGAAGCCGCGTCGCCGTCTGGGGGCGAAGCTGAGGGTCGACGACGATGTGCCGCGCGGCGCCCCCCCCCTGCCTGGCCCTCAGGCGTTGCTGGATCAGCTGGCGCAGCCCCCGCAGTCCGCCAGGGAGCTCGCCCCGTTGCAGCGCGCGCAGGAGCGGCCCAGGAATGCCAGGCGCGAGCCCAGACCACTCAGGAGGGGCAAACGCAGACCGCCAAGGAGCTCGAGGCCACGGAGGGGGCGACGCATCGGGCCACCAAGGCGGAGGTTGAGGCCGAGGCCAGGCTGGCGGCTGCCACGGCCACGGCGAAGCAGTTGGCGCTGGACCACGCGGCGGCGAAGGCGAAGCGCGCGGAGGCCGCGGCGCTCGAGGCCGAGGGGGCGGACATCAAGCGCGCCCCCCAGGGCTGCAACTCGGGCGGCAAGCGCGCGGTCTTCGCGGTCGACGATGACTGGTTCGAGGATGTCGCGGCCTACGGCGAGGAGGAGCAGCAGAAGCTTCGAGAGCTGGAAGCCATCATCAACTGCGGCGCACGAGCACTTTGCCAGGGTCAAGGACATCCGCTCGGGCGCCGCGAAGAGGCAGCGAGTGGGCGAGCGGTCAAGCGGCCAGAGGCTCAGGTTCAGAGGCGGCGCCAGCGGCGGCCACGGACCCCGAGCCCGAGGAGCGCGGCCCCCCTGCTCAGGGGGAGTCGGAGCAAACGGCTGAGGTCAAGGCTGCTGCGGGGGCCGAGAGATCTGCTGTCCTGGAGACGGAGCGTAAGTAGATTGTGGGGAAAGCTAAGGCTGGTGGCACGGGTGCTGCTAGCAGCGGCTCTGCTTCCTCAGCTTCAGGCGCAGCCCCCTCTCGGGGGTGACGCTGCCCAGGTCGAATTCATGAATGATCCCTGTGCCAGTGCAAGTAGTTGCGCCAGGCATTATACGGGCAATCTCTCCAGTCATATTTTCCTCAGTAACATTTCGGAAAAAAAGGACCTGTGGCCAAGTCCTTCATGCAAGCCCAGGCGAATGAATGCGTCATGGTAGGGTTTACGGAAAAGCACATGTCAGGCTCGCGGCTGTCTGCCGCGAAGTCAGATCTCAGCGAGGGCGGCTGGAAGTTCGCGGCTGCGGAGGCAACGGCTACGGGTCGTTCTCAGAGCGGTGCAACAGGTGGCGACTGGATCATTACGCAGAAACGCACGGCGGCGACATCCTTCGAGGGTCTACGAGAAGCTGAACGACAACGGACGGGCGAAGATTTGTTTCAAAGACTTCTGCCCCCACCACTTGGCATGCCGGAGTTGGCGATCTTGCGGTGGTCTCCTGCTACTTACCCCCGGGTTTGACGTTCGGAGGCGCCAGCGAGCAGGCGTTGGTACGAATGGCTGCGTTTTTTGAGACAGGTGAAGGATCCATGGATTTTGACGGGCGATTGGAATGCGAGGCCAGGTGGTTGGGAAGCGACGGATTGGTTCGCGAAAGTTGGAGGTCAATTTGTAGTCCCGTGCAACGGAGAAGTGACGTGCAATCGTGGCATGGATCACTCATTGACTACGTTATCGCGAAGGTCGGCCTGGCGGACTCGGTGATGCTCAAGATAGTTCCAGATGTCCCTTGGCGCATTCACGTGGGTTGGTGCATTCACCTTCAGCATGGCATCATGGGCGGGCGGAACAGGGCGGCGATCGCAGCGAAGGCCTTGCCCGCGGCGCCGAGACGTCCGGGCCCGACCCAGAGAGCAAGGTGTAGAAGAAGCTGTAGGAGGCCGAGATGAAGCGGCTCGAGAGTCTGGATGAGCATCTGCAGGAGACTTACGAAGAGCTCAGCCGCGAGCCGTCGGTCTCGGAGTCAGCGTCGAGTTCGCCATCAGCACCGAACACTGGAAGCAGGCCCAGGCCTTATGCCAGGGGGGAAGGTGGGCTCCCGCCCCGCACTTCCCCTTGGATAGGGATCAGGCTCTCCGAGGCGCGATCGCCTCGACCTGCGAAACCTGGGCCGGCTCGGTGGAGGAGGCGACGATCTTGAATCGCGATTTGCACGCGGCAGAGGCAGATGGAGTGCGAGGACGGGGCGCTGGACACAAGGAGCCATGGGAGCAAACTCGGGCGACCCCCGATCGACCGCACCTCCGAGATCCTCGGAGTGATTGTTGGGGCATCTGCACTGCGTTTTTATTGCGCGCTCGCCTGCTGCGCGCTCCGGGTCCGCGGCGAGAGAACGATTTCACTCGCGGACAGGCGCGTCTCATGAGTAGGGACTTGGAGACGGTTTACAGCATACTGGAGGAGCTGATGCAGGTGGCGGAGTCGAAGGACTTGCACCGAGGATTTCACGAGGAGGATTTGTTTACCCAGTGGGAGGGCATGATGACGGTTGTGACGGAGACGGAGGACGAGGACGTCGACGTTTCATCTTACATTTCTGAGCGGTTCAAGATTCGAACGATTGGTATGGCGTTGGCGGAGGCTAAGACAAGTTTCCAAGCATGGGCTACCAAGAAGATGTGGAAGTCCACGCTGGGCGTGCCCCACAGATGCGCGAGGGGTGCCATCGACGAGCCTGGCGAGATCATAACCCCCGCGCCGGTTTTCTCCTTCCCCAACGAGGTGATGGATTACAGGGCGGACAAGTGGCAGAAGGTGCTGTCGTCTCCCAGCTTCAGCCCCTCCAAGGTCCTCAAGGGAGTTGAGTATGTCAACCTGCGTGCGAAGAAGAGGCGTTGCCTGAACTGTCGGCGGAGTGCATTCGATCGGCGGTCGCCGGCGTGAACCCAGGAAGGGCGCGGACGCGACGGGCCCCGTCGAAGTGCAGCGTTTGCCGGACGAAGCGACCGAGGAGTTGAAGGGCTTCCATGCAGCCATAGAGACGCACTATATGTGGCTTGGTCAGGTGTCCGTGGTCATCGGTGCGGTTGCGCTCAAACGTCGTGGAGGTGACAGGGTGCTGGGCCTTCTGCGGTTCCTGGTGAAGTTGTGGGCGAAAGTCCGAAGCTCCGAGGCGCGGCCATCCGAGGGTCGCCTGCGCTTCAGGCCGCTCTGGTCCGAGGTCTGCTCGGTGAGTCTGGTAGAGAATAACGCATGTCTTCGGCCGCGCTCTTTCTGGACATCGAGCAGTTTTACGACAGCTTGGACATTGCAAAGTTATGCGCGGCGGCCTTCACGCAAGGCTTTCCAGCTACGGCGTTGTCTTTGGAGTTGCAGATGTCTGGAACCCAGATACTTGAAGGGTCGATCTTGGATTTCGCACCCCATTCAGTCTGATCGAGGTATTGTGGCTGGTTCTCTCAATGGGGGCCGCATGGCTCAGGCCTTTTTGGGGCCTATCTTGGCCAGGGCTCACGACAGATACGATTTGCAGATTTTTGTTGCGCACGCTCGTTGGTGACGCAGTTATCAGGGTCGAGGGAACCGAAGGTAATGTGATTGACACAAAGTAGAGCCAGGCAGCTACATGTGCGAGGAGCTGGTCCGTGCAGGACTAACGGTGCGTGACAAGACGGTGCCGGTGGCTTCCTCGAGCAGGATTGCGCCCCAGGCCGCGAAGCAACTTCGCGAACGCGGGGTACCTGTAGCAATATCTACGGAAGCCGTGGACTGGGGGGTGGACGCGCCGGCGGGCAGGAGGCGCAACTTGAAGAATTTGAAGGAGCGAGTAGCCAAGGCTCGTCGACGATTCCAGGTTATACGGAGAATTCCACGGTGCCCGAAACTGAGGCACATCACTTCCTCGTTGTGGTCGATGGGAGTCCGTCCTCAGTGTACTTACGGTCGTCAAGCTTACGGAGTGCCCGACCATCTCCTCACATGTCTTCGTCGGCAAGGTGCGCAGTGTTCTGTCGGCAGCTGGCCTGGGCGATGGTTGGCTACTGCGGTGGCGATGGCACTCAACTCGCGAGATCCTGCGAATCCGATTTGACGTGAGCAGTTGTGCTCATGGTTGAAGATGCGGCGTGGACATCCTGAGTGCCATGCGCGTGTGGCCCTTGCGTGGGAGAAGATCAGGTTGCGGCTTCAGATGGCAGGGTCGAGGATATGGCGGTTGGTGAATGGACCGATTGGAGCTACGATTGCGACGTTCTATGACATAGGCTGGCACCCGTGGTCTCCGATGTCTTGGGAATATGATCAGAGTTGTTGGTCGATTGCTTCAGTTGTGGACGACTAGTTCAGTAAGTTCCATGGCGACTTCACGGATGCTCTGGACGACGCCGAGGCGACCATTGACTCCCAGTTGCGGAGGTCGGCGGCGAACCACCTGGACTGCACGGACCTCTTCGGCGGTGCAGACTTGCACCACGCGCGCAAAGAGATGGCCAGACTCGGCCCCGGCGACCTGGGCGACGAGTGGGCCTTGAACGCGGTGGTCGTCACGGGGGGCCAGTGGACGCGCGAGCGTCTGAGTGGGGCAGGTCGCGAAGTCCCGAGTCTCTTGTGTCCTAGGTGCCAGAGGGCACCAGAGACGCTGTTTCACAGAATTTGGGCTTGCGAGGTCAGTGTTGGCCACGAAGATTTCACGATATCAAATGTTTTATGTGATCAAGCTCGAGCGAACCGCGAGAGCTCCCCGAGTTCGTGGCTCAGCGGGGCCTTGCGGAGAGGGGAAACGATCCCCAGTTTCAATGACGGACCCCCAGACACCAGGAGCTTCGGGGACATTCCATCCCGCGCGACGCCGAGGGTTATGCAACCGTTTTCGGTGACGGATCGGGGGGTCGCGTTTCGGATGGCCCTCGGCGTCGCAGGGTTGGCGTTGGCGCAGTGGCGCTCGCGCCAGAAGTCGGCCTGGGGTTTCGGAACCACCGTCCAGGGGGGGAGGCAGACGATGCCTCGCGCGGAGATCACTGCCCTCGCCTCTGCCCTGGAGCCCCTCCCAAGCCGACTGCGTTTTGCCGCCGATCATCTTCCGATCCTGTCGACCTGGTCCAGAGGAAGGCGTTTCGGGTTAACGCTGCTCGAATGGGTTGCCTCCCGCCAAGAGGAGGCGGCACTCCGATCCGACGCCGACAAATTCTGCGCGCTCGGCAACGAGCGCGCTGACGCGATGGCGTCGGCGATGGCCAAGATTGCGTGGACCACTTTTGTTGTTTTTGACCCTCCTACTGGCAGGAGGAACTCGGAGGCCGCCTTGATCCGACGGCGTGCTCGTCGGGCCCTGGGATGTGCGATTTTGTCGGATCCGCGGTCCGTGGAACGGCCGAAAAGCTGTGGTCCTGCTGCCCTCCCGACGTAGGCGCGTGTTTTGAGGGACTCCGACCATCGATGGTGTCGTGCGGGTGCGAAGTTTTATTGCGCGCAGCGTTCCCAGGTTTTGAATCGCGAATCGATTTTTCAAGCGAGTGCGACCCTGTGTTCGTGCAAGCACTTTCGGGAGTTCGAACCTTTGCGTGGACCCCAGAGAGTGAGCGGCAAGGTCCTCCACCCGTCGCATTCGCTGCAGTATTGGAGCAAATGTTGCCTCACGTTTTGTAGCAAATGCGGATTTAGTTGCACCTCCGATCTTCGGTAGTTGTTTAAGGAATGTGCCCCCACGCCCAAAGGGAAACATAACCGAATGCCCCCGAGATTAATGCCACAGGGATAATAAAGCTCGGGGTTGCGGGGAGATTATACATGTTGCCTACCGGAGGCCAGCATGGGGAAGAGAAAGAGATCATGTTAAAAGGACCGAAAGCCGAGGATCGAGGATCGAGAATCGAAGTCACCCTTGGAAAACTGATCGTTTCGCTTGAGGCTGCCTCAAATTGTTGAGGCTGTCTACCAACAAAAATGTTGGTTTCGCTTGATACATCCTCGACAACGTCTTCGCTTCGTTTGATGTTGCTATCTCAACATAAGAAGGAAGTTGACCTCGATGGTGAACTTTTCGCAGTGATATGGAACATCTGCCCTCCGCGCTCCGCGCCCCTGACCAAACTCTTATTGGCCGTGGATAGTCAACTCTAGCGTGTTAAGGGTTTTTTATACTAGCAGCAGGCGGCTAATTTAGCCGACTTAACGCGGGCAAGTACCCCCACCCCTAGGGCCCCCCGAGGGCGGTCCCTCGGGCTGAGGTGCGTAGAAATCAGATGAGCATGGGCTTTCGTCGTCCTCTAAGAATATTCCCGAAAATTCCTCCTCCTCCCTCTCGTCCTCGTCGCCGTCCCCTGGCTCCCCGGCGGACCCGGCGGGTTTGGCAGAACCGCGGATCCGGCGCGGGCCCGGCGCGGACTTGGCAGGGGCGGCCCCGCGGGCCCGCCAGCCCTGATGGGCCCAGCGGGTTAGAACCCAGCGGCTCCGGCGGGCCCGGCGGGCCCCGCCGCGGACCTGGCGTCCCCAGCGGCCCTGGCGGACTTGCAGCGGACTCGGCGGATCCAGCTGACCCGGCAGACCCGGCGGACACGGCGGACCCCGCGAGGCCCGGCGGGCCTGGCGGACCCAGCGTTTTTGGCGGAACCGGCGGACTGAACGGACTCAGCAGGCGTGGCAGGCCCCGACATGCAGACCCACCAGCCTGGCCCAGGCGGACCCGGCATGAGGACCCGGCGAACCCGGCGGACCCAGCGGACGTGACGGAGTGCCGAAGTGAGTTGGGGGACGCCATGAAGTTTCTCTTGATGCCACAACTGCATGTACAGGGCACGATCCGCCTGAGGGGCGTGGCATTATGCGAACCTTGTCTTTGGGAACGTGGGTGGAGTTTCCTGTGGGGCGCGATCCTTTTGAAGGGGGTGCATGCGTGGGCGGGTGACGCTAAGCCAAACTTGTCTCTGGGGCCGCAGATGAAGCTCCCTGAAGGGCACGGCCCGCGTGATAATATATGTCTTCCTATGCCGAACACGTTGTATTAGAGCTGGAGCGTGCTAAACTCGCCCGCGCGAAATGCGCGCGTGGTTCCAATGTGTTTGTGTATATGTATATATGTAATAGATACGTGTACTTCTGATATGTATAACTATAATAGGTTTTAGTATACACTCGTATAAATATCTTGTGTATATATACACACACGTGTCTATAGATAGGGCACACATGCATATTCCTTTCTAGAGAAAGTATCATGGTCTACCTCACCCGGCCCCACCCCCGGATTTAACGCGCCACATCTTCGTATTTCAATGTGCGCAGTCGTCTGCCCCATCGTCCATCGTAAATACGAGTTCGTACCATCCCAGGCAGTTCCTTATCGTCCCCTCCAGATTTCTCAAAAGTACAATGCACGCGCACTCTTTTATCAACAGCCATACATTTCCAATCACCCCTTGCAGCAAACGGGACAACTTGCACACGCGCGCGTCGTCGCGCTCGCATGCCGCAATCCGACAGCAAAAACCTCAGGCGTCGTAAATAGTTCAAAATCGAGTTTCCCGCAAACGTATAAACAACGATTGGTTTCGCAACTTGAATTCTCAAACAAACATGCGCTCGCGCTTTTTCGATTTTATACCCTGCAAAATTCAACGTCGCAATAATCCCTTGCAAGCGGCAGGGCAACTTGTGCACGCGCGCGTCGTCGCGCGCGCATGGTGCAATCCTCCAACAACCGTAGGTTTCGTAAGGGTTTGAACATCGAGTGCCGAAACAATATAAAACACACATCGTTTCGCAACATAAGTTTTCAAACAAAGGTTTTCGCACTTTGCATCATTAGTCTTTTCAGCAGTTTCATCGGATTCGACCAAACGGGCCTGTCGCCCCGCATGTCAAAATCATTCGAACGCCCCTGCGCGCCTGCTGGGGTGGACACGGTCCCTGTCAAATAATACCATGCGGTCCACTCGCGCGCGTCGGCCGTGCGCGCATGTCAGATTCCTCCCAAAACCTTTACCACCGACGCGGGGACATCGTCATGACTATCTGCGTGATCAGCGCTAGCGTCGCCATTGGCATTGCTGTCGTCATCGTTCCCATCGTCACCATCATCGCTATTGTCATCATCGTGTCTACCCTTGTCGACCTCGCTATGATACCGCGCCCGCCCAAGACACCGACTCGCAATGAAATGCCCACTGGGAAGTGCTCAGCGGTCAGCGCCACTGCGGCCGCGTCGGTCGTGCTAAACTAGCTGGCCGCTGTGCGCGCGAGCGTGCGCTGGCTAGCGCGGCCGCAGAGATGTACCAGCCAACGCCAGGCACTCGTCGCAACCACCGCCGCATGGGTTTTGCAAACCAGAATGCGGGCGGTTGGATGAACTGATTGCGCAAGCAGTTGAGTTGACAATTCCAATTGTTTCGAAATTCATTCCAATACATAGATTGCACCACGCACGTTGCACCATACACGCATATATATATATATATATATATATATATACATGCATGTGTATGTATGTGTGTACAGATGTATATATGTAGATGTCTACATGCATGCGTATATATACATATATGTGGGTGAATGTATTTCATGTGTACATATGTATATATACACATATCTATACATATACTTATATATTGTTCAGCGTCAATTGCATAATGCAGATAGCACCACGTAGACTGCACCACATACATGTATTGCACTACGCGTATTGCGCATAGTAGATTGCACCACATTTCTTGTACCACATATACTGCTCCGGAAATCGTTCCGAACATGTGCCACGTAGATCGTTCCGAACATGTTGCGCAAGAGTTGATCGGTAGAAACATGCTTTGTGGGTCCACGCTAACATTTGACAGTCGCTGGGCTCCCAAACCGCCCCGATGCGCAGAGCACGCCGCGGGTGCGGGCCGCGCCCCCGCTGCAGCACCAGCGGCCGCACGCCCGGCCCGCCGCTGCCGCTGGCGCAGGCGCGGCGCGCCGCCGCCGCTCCGCGGGCATCCAGCGGCCGCCCGGCCAGACAGGTCGATTGCTTGGCTCTAGACTCTATAGGTTTCCCAGATGTGGTCCGAGCAGGTGGGGTCGGGAGATCGCGCCGCATGCATCGGCGATGCGGCTCGATGTGGAGCCCGAGTTTCTCCACGCCGGCATGGCCGATGCACCGCCGATGCACCGCCGATGCGCCGCCGAAGTTGCAGATGCATCGCCGATCGTTTTCGGGGAACAGGCAATAACACAAACATGAACTTTCGCAGGTCCGCGCGGATTTCTCGGACCGGCGCTGGGGCCCCCTCCTTGGCACGCAAAGTGCACCCGGGGCGGCGCCAGAGTCGCCGCCAGGGGGCCCCAGCGCCGATCCGCGAAGTCTGCGCGGACCTGCGAAAGTTCATGTTTGTGTCAGCGTCTGTTCCCCTATGCGTTGCATCGCGCGGACCCGGGCATTTTCCTCGGCGAGGCCAGCGCCAGAAAAGAGGGGGCCCTCTGGGAGTATCTTGGAGCATCTTGCGAGAAGACACGTGCGAAACCGAACCATGCACCAGGAACGGACGTCCGAGCAATGGCAAGATTGAGGAATTCAGGCGTTGCGTAATGTCCCGCCGAGTTTTTTATCCCCTGGCGACAGCGGGCGTGACTGGGGTTGGGAATTGGGAGGGGGCCGGTCACGTTCTCGAAGCGCGCCGGCGCCGCTGGGAATGTCGAAGAATGGCTAATTCACAGCAGGGCGCGAGCTAAGGGGTGTTTCCGCGATTTCGTGGACCGTTTCCGTTTTGGTTGCGTTCTGCAGCAAAGGCGGAACGAAGACGGCACGAGGGAAGACGAAAACAAAACGGCAACGGACAACCATGTTTGGCTCGAGCCTTGATTTCCAGGCGCCTCTCGGGCACACGGAGTCCGCCTGGCCAGACAGGTCGATTGTAAAAGTATGCCATGCACCAGATCGTTCGGCATTGGCATTCCATGAGATTTTGGCGTCGTCATTTTTTTCGGAGTGGGCGAGCTTGCCTTGCTTCGGGCTACGGGACTCACGGATCGATCCGGCTCGAATCATGTTGCGGAAAAATTCTGCTACACGTAAGAATGACCGTTCGCGAGAGTGATTCTTGGTGCGGGCCCATTTGGCCCCCGCGAACGCCGAAAACGAGCAGCGGCCTGCCCGCTTGGGCTTGGCCCCCTCGCGCCCCCAAAGGCCGCGCACCAATGGTCACTCTTGCCCAGGGTCACCCTTACGTGCAGCCGAATGATGTGGTCCAGCGTTAGGTCGAGGTCTTTTAAGGAGTTGCAGTTTTGCTCGTGCACTGGGTCACCCTGCACTTGGAACAACAAAACGGCATACAGTCAACCCGCATAGTAAGGATGGGCAACCTTCCCAAGGATATCTGTGCATCCTTGCCGCCTCGGTCCATCCTTGGCCACTTCCGCTGGTCGCGCCCCGCTCGAAAGGCTTCGAAGTTGACGTCCAAGGCCCTTGCGTCCTTATCGCGCATCCTCATGATACGGGTTGACTGTAAACCTAATTTTTCTGAGGTCCGCGCGGATTTCTCGGATCCGCGCTGGTCCTGTTGGCAGAGCCTTTGGCCAGACCGTAGCCACAGAGGCTCGAATCTAGAAAACACTAGACATGTCCTGGAGCCAGGCGGAAAAATGCGCAATCACAGCTTGAGAGCTCTTTGTTTTCATGTACCGCTACCCTTGCCTCGTTCCCACCTTTTCGGGCTTCCTGGGAGGCCTTCGTCGCCCCGGCTGCATTCGCCTTGAAATTCTGGTCAGAGTGCGCTTAGAGAGAGGTCGGGAGCGTAGTCGGTACCTTCTGATTTCCCCGGTTTGCAGGTGCAGTCCCCCGCCGGCTTCGCCGATCGGCGTGTGTGTTTCCCTGCGTGTTTCATGCTCTGAGCTGAGGGCGCTCCGGCCATCCGCGGCCCTCTCTCCCCCCTTTCCTAACGGCCTTCCTTGCCGCCTGCGCACCTCAGCAGCCTTGTCGTAGACACGACCGCAACTCGGATGCGAGGCGCAGCGGGTAAAAAAGTGCGTGTTCCTTGTATACGTTCAGTATTTGTTTTGCCATCGATCAGTTGCTCCGCCCGGGTGCACTCGGAATACAGTGCCGCGCCCGCCTGTGGAGTGCCCCTAAGCAGCCTTCTGCAAATCAGGAGCGACAGAAGGACGTACACGTACATGAATCCACGCTGGTTTCGAGAGTACGCATTGCCCGAATGTTCGAAACACGCGGCAAGGCTCGCGGATCGCGGGGCCGCGTTCATGTACATAGCTGGGCGTGTACGTCTTTCGTGGGCTCCCTATTAAAAGGGAGCTTTGCTGAATGGTATGTAAGTCTTCGATGTTCTCTCAGAGAACATCGAAGATCGATGCTCTCCCTCTCTCTCTCATCTACGGCACAGTGTGCCGTAGATATCAGACTTTCTCTTGCTACTGCAAGACGTGTGTGTTGACGGTCTTCGCAGAGCTTCGACGGTTCTCGGCGGCCCTCGGAGGTCCTCGGCGGTCTTCGGGGGGCCCCCCGCGGGGGGTTCTTGGGAGCCCCTCAAGGTCCTCGGCCATCGCCGGGGTCGTCTATCATCGTACGTGGTCCGTCGACGACGTCGTCGTCGCCGTCGTCGTCGTCGACGACGCCGCCACCGCCGCCGCCGCCTCTGCTCGATCGAGGATCGATCGATCGATGTCACTCCCCAGTCGCACGGCCTCCAAGGGTCGTTTTCGGGCCCCGGGATTGTCAGGGACAGACAACGTATCCGCCGCGTCGTTGTTTATCGTGGGCGTCTTAGGACGTCGTCGCTCGCCGTCGTTCGTTGTTCGTTGTCGTCTGTCTTCGGTCCTTGTCGGTCCTCGTCGTCCATCGTCGTCGTCGTCATTGTCGTCTTCGTCTTCCTGGTCGGAGAAAGGGCATGCCGCCCACTGCCAGGCGGGCCAGGCTCAGTGCTCGTCCCACTCCTCTAGCTCCGGTGTCGACTCGTTCTCCTGCGTCTACTCATCTACCTTTTGATCCTCGAAATTTCATGCTGCTCTTCCAGGAGTCTACGAAGAAGAGTTATCATAGACATACGCTTTCGGAGATGCGCGCAGATTTCCTAGATTGGCGCTAGACGCCCAAGGCGGCACCGCTTACGCCTCCGCGCCAGAGAAGAGGACCCAGACCCGATCGAAGAAATCCGTGCGGACCTCCGCACGTTACGTTTATGCAGATCGTCTTGGATGGAGGGACAGGGGGTGGATGCAGAGAGAGGGAGAGAGAGAGAGAGAGAGCAGAGCAGAGCAGAGCAGAGCAGAGCAGAGCAGAGCAGAGCAGAGAGATTCAGATCTAAGTTTTTATTTCGGCATGCTTAAAGAGCTTCTACGGTGGAGTCCTAGAAGGGCCCCAGGTGGGCCACCTCCTCCTGGAGTTCCCCCCTCTTCGCATGAGGGAGGGAGGGTGCCGTCAGGCCCCGGGAATGGTGGCCAGGCAGGTCTGCACCTGCGGTCTGGGATAATGAATTGTTCCTCCCCCACAGTGCGGTCGGGAACTTTTGGACAGCCGCGCTGCGGCGCGACACTCTATCCACTTCCCGATCCCCAAGCGTCAGCGCCCCGAGCCTTTTCTGGCTTCCCGGCACGCCATCCGCTCGCAGGGCACAGCGGGTCGCTGGGGGCCGCCGCGGCGACACGCTGGGCAGCAGCTCCTGGCCGTGGCCCCCTGCCAGCTTCCTTGGGATGGCCTTGGCTCCCCGAGCCCGCGGCGCGCGGGCCCACGCCGCGGAAGTGGCCGGCGCGGGCCGGCTCTGGGGCTAAGCTGATGGGCTTGTTTGCCACCACCACCACCATAAGTTGGAGGGGGAGAGGGTCCTCCTCCTCCTCCTCCTGCACCTTCCCCCTCCAACTTATGGTGGCGGTGGTGGAAAACATGCCCATCATGAGTTCTTCTTTTGCAGCTGCGGCTGATGAGCTGGTCGGCCTCCTGCGCAGGGTCCACTTCTCGCGGGCGAGCAGCGCATCCGTCTTCGCGGCCTCGCGGGCCGGGCCCCTGGGCCGCGACCCCGCGGATGCGAGGCGTTTTTTGCGGATCCGCAGAATCGCGCCCTCGAATCCCGGCCGCGAGGGCGCGGATACGGATAGGGTGGCCGCTCGTAAATTCTCATGTTTCCATCCGATCCGACGTCGATTCGATTCCAATATTCTGACCCTCAGCGCTCTGACGCGACCGATCCGATTCGATTCCGATTCCGTGCTGATTCTCGGCGTCGAAATCCAGTCCCTGCCCGCGCCGATCCACGATTCGGGCAACTCGAAGGGCAGCGGGGATAGGGTTCGAAATTCGCCGATCCCGTGGCGCAGTACGAACCCTCGCCTCCCATCGATTCAGGAGAATCGATGGTTGGTGGGGATAGGATTCGGATGTCAAAACCTGTCCCAATCGGTTTCCATTCGGTGCCGATTCATCCCGATTCGATCCAATGTTGATAGATCCCGCCTGCGATGCAGGCGGGTGCACGCCAGTGCATGGGCGGAGCTTCTTTCTCTCGGTCGCGGTCGACGGGCTGGCCCAGCATTGGACAAATAGTAAGAGGGTGCTCCACGCGCGTGCCCATGCGTGCCTTCTCCGTACCACGCTCTCCCTGGAAATTATTTGGCCGTCCTCTCAAGTGCCCTCGGTCTCCGGTCGCGAGAGTATCATCACCAGTGGCGGTGCCGCCGACAATGACGTCGACGATTTTGACGACGACGATTGCGACACCGACGATGATGACACCAGCGACGCCGATGCCGACACCTACAAGGATGCCGAAGGCGACGATCGGGAGCTGCTGGTGGTGTTCCAAGCTTTTCGCTCCAAAGTGGTCCCCTCGGGCCTCGTGATGGGATGCTCTGGAGGCCGTGGGGGCTTCCTTGGACGTGCTGGGGACACCTTGGGCCAGGGACACTTCTGGCAACACCCGAGACGACGGTCTCGACACCGACTGACGCCGGCGCCGATGCCGATGCCGACGACTCCGGCGATGACCAAGCCGAGGGCACCGACACCGACAACGGTGCCGACGCCGAGGACGCTTTAGACACCGACGGGCGCCGACGACGGCGCCGATGCCGACGACGGCGCCGATGACCACGCCGTTGCCGACGCCGCCGTTGCCGACGCAGACGGCGACGGCAACGGCGTGCAGCCTCCTGGCGGGAGCCCGCGCCAGGCGTGTGCGCCGCAGCGCGGCCGGGCGCGTGTGGCACGCGGAGTGCGTGAGGCGCGGCCTCCTCCGGTGGCCTCCTCGGCGACCAGAGAGGAAAAGGGCGACGCGCGCAGCGGCGCTGCACCTGCGGGCGTCGGAGGTCTTCCTCCCCACGCATTGGGGGCAACGTCGCAGGCCTTCGGCGGTCGTCTGGGTAGGGTACAGGTGGTGCTTGCACGACCTCTTCCCGCATCCCGCAGAGTCTCACAGATTGTCGGGGTGCCGTTCGAAGTTCGAGTTTTTAGGGATGATTTGCCGTCGGTTATCGCCGCTTGCCCAGCCTCGGGATGCCTTCCGCGGCTGCGCCTCGCCAACAGCGTTCCAGGGGTGCCCGGATCGGCCCGAGCGGCCGCCGGAGAGAGAAGGAGCGTCGCGCGCGCGCCGCAGCGCTGCACCTCCAGACGTTGGAGGTCCCCTTCCAGTTCACCAGGGGCAGCGTTAGGGGGATCGGCGCTATGGGGCAACCTTGGTGGGGATAGGCTGCGGGGCGAGGCGAGGCTCGACTCTACAGGTTTTCGGGCCCTCGGTGGTTTTCAGCTGCGCCTCGCCGCGGGCTTTCAGGGGGTGTCCAGATCGTCCCCCGAAAATGAAGAAGGGAGAGCAAGGTATGACCCGAAAGCCATCAGGAGATGGGTTCAGAGGGGGGATGCATTGGCCGCCGATCGTCCATTGATGGCCGATGGGGGCCCGATAGCCCATTCCGCCCAGAGGCAATTTCAGGGAGGGGGTTTTAGATAGTAACTCACGGAAGTTTTCGCTCGTCTTGGATTGAATGTGTATTAGCGAATAGCGTCCAACAGCGCTCAATCGCGCCAGTTATCACACAATAGCGCCAGGTAGGAATAACGCTCCACAGCGCCAAAGAGCACCCAACTCATCAGGGGCAACGTTGGTAAGGCTTCGTGTTGCGCGCAGGCAGCCCCCCCCGCTAGTCCCAGCTGCCTTTACAGGCCCCACGGGTAGTCCCAGCTGGCATCAACAGACACCCCGAGCGCACTAGAGTTGGGGGGTCGAGACTGCCCCAGACTACTCGGGGGGCCTGTTGAGGCCAGCTGTAACTATTCGGGGGGCCTGCTGAGGCCAGCCGGGGCCTTCACCACCTGGGAGGTTGTCTGCGCTTAACCCGAAGCCTCACCAGCTGCACTTCGGGACGTTGGAGGTTCTCCTCCAACTCATCAGGAGGGAGGACATTAGACAGAAGGCTTCGCTCGTATTGAACTGAATGTGTGTATCGGCGAATAGCGCCCAATAGCGGTCCACTGCCACCACCACTGAGCCGAGCGTCCAGAACGACGCGTGGGCAGACGAGTGCGCGCGCGCACACTCTTCTGCCGCGCGGCGGCTGGCAGCTCGTCAGGGAAATAACAAGGAAAGCGTTGCAGAGCGACTGCGTGCACACAGAGACTCGACCGTGAAGCAGAAGCGGAGCGCCTCAAGAAGGAGACGCTGAACAACGTAGCGCATCACGTATATGACGCATAGAAAAGGAAGCTCCCCAAGAGGGTGAAACAGCAAACAAAGCGCATCACGACATCGGAATTCAGAGAGGAGGGAGACAGAGGTGGAAGAGGAAAAGGGGAAGGGGGAAATGGGGCACCGTTGTTCTTCATGCTGGGGCAATTTGTACACCTGACTCACCCACTACTGGCGGGGGCGGCCCCTTTTTCGGCGCCTAACCAATGTCCCAGATCATGGGGCCCCCATCGTTGTTACACACGGCGCTTTTCACAAGCGACGGGCAGGCAGATGGTTTGATTTGATTGTAGAAAAACAACTTGCCTGGCGAGCAAAATCTTCGACAGCGGTTGGGCATATGCTTTTTGAAGCACCGCTGCGTTGCTAAACCCGGGAGACGAATAATGGAGGAATTCCCAGCAACCGCCGTACGCATTTGCGGTGGAAGGCGTCTAAACGCATACGGTCTGTCTTCAGAAGCCAATCGAGTCTTAAGAATAACAGAGCCTGGTCAGGACGGAATTGATCTATATATATATATATATATATATATATGTATATCTATATATACTAGAACCACGCGCGCGCTTCGCGCGCGCTTAGGTTCTCGTTTGGGGGCCTCTTTTGGGCCTCTTGGGGGCCTCTCGGGGGTCTCTTGGGGCGGAAAGCTCGACATGCCGGTTCGTATTTCCCCTCTTGGGTCTCTCTTGGGGTCGTCCTGAAGCCCTCTTGGGCCGTCTTGGGCCTCTCTCGGGCCGTTTGGGGGCTCTCTTGGGCCGGCTTGGGGGCCTCTTGGGGGCCTCTTGGGGGCCTCTTGGGCCCTCTTGGGACGATGTTGGAGGCTTTTTGCGTAGTCTTGGCGTGTCGGAAGCCCGAAAACGCGAACAGCAAAAAACAATGAAAAAACCCCAATGAAAATCGACAATGTTGGCCTCCTGGGGCCTTCTTGGAGGTTCTCTTGGAGCGCTCTTGGGGCCTCTTGGGGGCCTCTTGGGCCATCACGGGGCCATCTTCGGCGGCTTGGTGCGCTCTCGGGCTGTCTTGGCGGCCTCTGGGCGCCCTCTGCGGGCGCCAAGGGGGGCTTCCGAGGCGCAGGGAGCGCCCTGGAGCGTTCAAATAGGCTCGCCGGCGCCAGGGACTAAAGTCGGGTGCGGGGGGTTGGGGGAGTTTTGGAAAAGTGGGCTGCCCCTGGGCCCGGGGATCTGGACGCCCAGTATATTATATCATATATATGTATATGTGTGTTTGTACGTCAGGTGGAATGGTAGAGCCACCATCGCGAGAGAGCAGTCGGCAGACCAGGCTGCATATCGAAAGGGGTACGGCACCATAGACCATCTGCTGACCACCACGCTGCTTGTAGAGGCACGCAACGAGTTCAACACGCCTGTTCGGATTTGCATGGTTGACTTCGAAGAAGGTTCTCGACATAGTTGAGCACAAGAGTCTATGGGAGGCACGGGCAGACAAGAACATAGGACATGAATAGATCAATATAATCAAGCGTTTGTACACCAAAGAGTCCGCACGCGTCATTGCATGGATCTGAACCAGGATGTTTGACATATCCCGGGGCGTCAAGCAGGGCGACCCGATTAGTTAGTTTTTTATTCGTCGTCGTCATTAAGGCCGTTTTCAAGAAGTTGAAGGTGTGATGTGCTAGCCTGAACCACGAGCGATTCGGACCGTATAGCGGCATGGTCATACACAGCACTGGCGAGCCCCTCACCAATTTCAGGCTCGCCGATGATGTACTGATGGTGACATCATTTGCCATCTATTCATCGGTAATGCTTGTGGACCTCGGGACTGAAGTGCGCAAGTACGGTCTCAGAGTACACATGGGCAAACCATAAATTGTTGACGCTTCGCGAATCCCCACCAGCCCATCCAGAAACGATGCCCAGAGGAATTGCCTCGATCAGGGAAGTGGGCAGAACACAGAGGAAGCCATTATGAGACATGTTGGGGTATCTTGAGCCATCTTGGAGGCCATCTTGGGCTCGCCCAGGCGCTTCTGGAATCATCTTAATCAGTGCCCCCCCAAGTGGCCAACATGTGGCTAAAACTTTCGTTGTAATCAATGATGCGGCATTCTCGCCGAGGCCTCTTGGAGCATCTTGGCTGCCTCTGGGGGGTCTCTGGGGGCCTCTTGGGATCTCTTGGGAGCCTCTTGGGGGCATCCAGGGGGCCTCTTGGGGCTTCCTGGCCACCTCTTGGGGCTGTTCCTCCAGGGGACCTCATGGCCACCCCTTGGGTCTCTTGGGAGCCTCTTGGGGGCATCCAGGGGACCTCCAAGAAAACAGACCGCCCGGATTATCCGGGGGGCCTGTTGATTCCATTTGGGATTGCTCGGGAGGTTTGTCGAGGCCACTTGGGACTTCCCTTGGGGGGCCAGAAAGGGGCAGCATGCGATGCCTCCCAGGTGGGGGGCCCAGCAGCAGGCCACTGCCTCAAGTGCGGGCCCAGCTCCCCCCAGTCCCGACTTCGCAAGCGCCCAGTGGCGGCGCGTCACTGTTCTGCGACCACCTGCGAACCTTGCCCATGCGGGTCCAATCGTCGCCGGAGTGTCGGGCACCCCCGCTGGGGTGCACCCATCTGCTCGGGGGGACCAGAACGGGTACGGAAACAATGGGCCCGAGGACCAACAACAGTTTTTGTCCATTTTGGACCTGGTTCGTTGTCGGCGTCGCCGCGGATGTTGCCAATCTGAAACGAACGTCACCTGCCCAACAGCGTAACTATTTGTCGTTTGCCAAGTTGCCTTCGTTGAATTGTGAACCCCAGCCCGTTTTTCAGAATCTGACTTGCAGGGGTAGGGTTCGTATGTGGTTGCCTAAGTGGGCAGATCATCGTCCTCCTCGTTTTCTGGGTATTCGGAGATTTTCGGGCGTCCTCGTGGCCATGGCCGGATTCGCCTTCCGGGAGCTGGCTCAGCTCGGGGGCGTGCCCGAAGTTGCGGGAGCCCAGACAGCCCAGATTTTCTGGCGTCGCGATAGCAGCATGATGAGCGTTGCTCTTGGGTCTCGGCGCCTGGTGCCGTTCTCAAGCCCTCGTGGCCACCAAACACATTTTCCGATGCGAGAAACGGTCCCAGGGGCCGAAAGTTCTTGTATCCACGTCGTAAAAAACGACGCCGAGGATCTGGATCTTCAGGCTCGCGAGATTCGCCTTTTTGGAACATTTCCGGGAGCCCTCCGGATGGCTGGTTCTCGAGCTGGATTGAGCGAGTCACGGCTCAAAAGTGGGCCAGAGGACCTCGAGATTGGGAACGCCTTGGAAGGGCCACAGGGCCCGAGTTGGGCCTCGGGAGGCTTTCCTTTTTGTTTCCCGTCATCGCTCCCCTAAGCAAGATGCTCTCGTTGCGGCCAGTGCCGTTTTCGGTTCTCACCATCGTTACCCCGAAGTGCGTGCAGTGCCGCCTTCGTTGCAGGCCCGCCGCAGTCACGGGCTGAGCTTCCATCAGTGTATCTCAGCGCCCTCAGCAGAGTCTGCGTATTTCCATCCGGTTGACCTGGATCGATACCGGTCCAGTCAGCCCCGTCAGTTTCGATCCTGATACTCCGACGACCCGATGCGGCCCGATGTTTGCATATGGCGCTTCTGCGCACCCGGTCGCGGCCAGTCCGATTCGAGTCCGACCCCGTGCCCCCAGGGAGGCTCCCGCCGACCGCGGCCCCCCTGCGCGGGGCGATGCTGTTCTCCGGCGTGCGCGCGCGCCGCGCCGCCCTCCACGAGCACAGCCCCTGCGACGTGGTGCGCAGGGAGCGCTGCCCGCCCCGCCTCGCGCGTGGGAGCGGCGAGGGGCAGCGAGGAGCGAGGAGGAGCGAGGAGGAGCGAGGAGGAGGAGCGGGAGCGAGGAGGAGGAGGAGGAGGAGGAGGAGGAGGAGGTGGAAGAGGATATCGAATCATGAGTTTTTGGATAAACATAACATTTGGGAGATCCGTGCTGATTTGCTGGATCGAGGCTGTGCCGCTGTGCCTCCCTGGCGGCGCATCCGGCGCCACCCGTAAGTGAGTTTTTTTTCTCCCCGGCGTAACGCTCGCTACTCGGACCAAACCGCCACTTTTCGTTGGGGCGGCGTTTTTTTCCCAATCCAAACGGGTCTTCCCAAACCAAATGTTCGGTCAGGGTGACCCAGGTCTTGGTTTTGACCGGGTTGGTTTGGGAAGATTAGGGGTTTTGGTTTGGGAAGACCCGGTTGGTTTGGGAAGATTTGGTTGGTTTTTGAAGGCCCGGGGGATTGGTTTGGAAAGACCAGGTTGGTTGGTTTGGGGAGACCCGGTTTGTTTGGGAAGACCCGGGGTTTTGGTATGTGGTTTGGGAAGACCCGCTTGGTTTGGGAAGACCCGGTTGGTTTAGGAAGACCTGGTTGGTCTGTGAAGACCCAGGGGTTTGGTTTGGGAAGTACCGTTTGGTTTGGGAAGATCCGTTTGGTTTTGGAAGATCCGGTTGGTTTGGGAAGGCCCGTTTGGTTTGGGAAGACATAGGGGCTTGGTTTTTTGCAAGACCCGGTTGGGAAGACCAGAGGGCTTGGTTTGGCAAGATCCGCTTGGTAACGAAAGCGACAACCAGATCGGAAAATAAGGCGAAACGAATGCGAACCGAAGGCGAACACAAAGGCAAGACCGATACGAAAACAAAAGCGAAACGAAGGCCAGAACGAAGGCGAAAGCAAGACCGAAACGAGGGCGAAACGAAACGAAATGAAACGAAGGCGATAACGAGAGCGGAAACGAAGGCGAAACGAAAGCGGAACGAAGGCGAGAACGAAGGGCGGAAGCGAGGGCCAAACGGAGGCGAAACGAACGCGAGAACAAGGCGATAACGTGAGCGGAAACCAGAGCGAAACGAAAGCGAAACGAAGGCGATAACGAAATCGGGAATGAGGTGGAAGCGGGCACGAAACGAGGGCGAAACGAAGTCGAGAGCGAAGGCGAGAACGAGAGCGAAAGCGAAAGCGAAGCGAAGGTGAAACGAAGGCGAGAGGCAGGCGGGACACGAGGGCGGATACATAGACAAGCGAAGACGAAACGAAGACGAGAACAAAGGCGAGAAAGAGAGTGGAAAAGGCGGAACGAAAGCGGAACGACGGCGAGAACGACGACGAGAACGAAGGGCAGAACCGAGACCGATAACAGGGGCGTGTCGGGTCGAACGGGGTGGACCCTTACGGGTTGGTCGGGTCGGGCGGGCGGGACACGCAAGTACAATGCATCATCGAGTTGGCGCGATTGTAGCCTAGCGGGCGGGTCGGTCGGGCGGGCGAGTCGGGTCCGGCGGGCGGACCCTGACAGGCAAGTCAGGTCGGGCAGGCGCACCCTAACGGGCGGGTCGTGCCTGGCGGACGGGACATTCAAGTATTATACATCATCGAGTTGGCGCACGTGAGCCCTAACGGACGGGTCGGTCGGGCGGGCGGGTCGGGTCGGGCGGGCGGTCTTTGACGGGCGGATCATATCGAGCGGGTGGAATTTCAAAGTATGATGCATCATCGAGTTGGCACGCGTGCACCCGGCTTCCGGGGGCCCTCAACAGGCCCCGGAACCGTCAAAAACGTCCCGGGACGAAAAATTAGCCTCAGGGAAAGAGTCCAAATTTGGGGTGCCCATGTCGCCAAACAAGCAGCTTTGGATGTCTGGGTTCTGGAGGTGCGCTGTCGCCCTAATTTCGACAAGGAATCCAGCCGTGGCGACGACATCGACGTTGAGGACGACGACGGCGACGACGACGGCAACGGCGACGACGACGACGACGACGACGACGACGGCGGTGGCGGCGACGACGACGCCGACCACGTCGACCACGACGACGGCGGCAGCGACGACGACAACGTTGACGTCAGACGGCGACGCCGTCGGCGTCGACGGTGACGGCGACGACGGCGGCGACTACGACGACGACGTCGGCGATGACGACGACGACGGCGACCACGACGACGGCGACGACGGCGACGACTGCGACGACGACGACGACGGCGACAACGGCGACGACGACGACGACGTCGTCGACGACGACGACGGCGATGGCGGGAACGAGTTCGGAAACGAGGGCGTGACGACGGCGATACGAAAGCGAAAACAAAAGCGATAACGAGAACGGAAACTAGAGCGAAACGAAAACGAAACGAAGGCGGGAACGAAAGCGAAAACGAGGGCGGAAACGAAAGCAAAACGAAGGCGAAGCGAAGGCGTGAACGAAGGCGAAAGCGAAAGCGGAAACGGCGGCGAAACGAAAGCGAGAACGAAGGCGAGTTAGGGCGGAAACGTAGGCGAAACAAAAGCGAGAACGAAGGAGGGAACGAGGGCGGAAACGAGGGCGAAACGAAAGCGAATGGCATGCGAAAACGAAGGCGGGAACGAGGACGGCAAGGTGCGAAACGAAGGCGAAATGAAGACGAGAAAGAGTGCGGAAACGAGGGCGAAACGAAGGCGGGAACAAAGGCAAACACGAAAGAGGAAAAGAGGGCGAAACGAAGGAGAACGAAGGCGAGATCGATAGCGAGAACGAAAGCGGAAACGAGGGCGTAACGAAAGCGAAACGAAGGCGAGAGCGAAGGCGGGAACGAGGGCGGAAAGGAGGACAGAAACGAAAGCGAAACTAAGGCGATAACTAGGCGAGAAGACCGGGGGGAGTGGTTTGGGAAGACTGTGTTGGTTTGGGAAGACATGGGGGGCTGGTTTGAGAACCCCCGGTTGGTTTGGGAATACCCGGGGGGTTGTTTTGGGAAGACCCGTTTGGTTTGGGAAGACCCGGGGGATGCTTTGGGAAGACCCAGTCGGTTAGGGAAGACCGGGCCAGTTGGTTCTGGGAGACCCGTATTGTTTGGGAAGATTGGGCCGGTTGGTTTGGGAAGGCCAGTTTGGTTTGGGAAGGTTTGGGGCTTGGTGTGGGGAGACTTGGCGGTCTGGTTCCGCAGCATTTGATTAGGGAAGACCCGTTTGGATTGGGAAATCTTTGCCTCGCCCCCCCCGCTGGGTAACGCTAGCGATCGTGCTGGGGGCGGGGGGGTTGGGCCCCCCCCTACATGTTGGGAGCGGACCCTCCGCAGTTATGGCGCTGTGCTCACAGGCATGGCATGGTCTGATAGTGCTCACAAACGTGTTGTGATGCTCGCAGGCGGCGTCGGGCTCACAGGGATGGCGTGGTGCTGAAAGGCATGTTTGGGGGTGCTCACATGCGCGTTGTGGCTTTTGAATGCTATTGCGGTGCGCATAGGTCAGGCGGTCTCACTGCCAAGGTGCCCATTCGGAGAGCAGCAGGTCGGTTGGGCGGCAGATGTAGAATGTGGGGGCTCTCTTCCTATTGGCCAGGGGTTTGTCGTCATCGTCGTCGTCGTCGATGGCTCAGCTACCGCAGGCTTGTTCGACCACTCTGCCTTCTGGCCAGTGTTCGGTTGCAGTGTAGCGCCGACGCGCCTAATAAGGACGCGCGCCTTCTCCAGGATACCCTTGTGTCCTTGCCTCTGCGGCCTGTCCTTTGCCGTTTTCATTGAACAGCTTTTGCCAACAAATCCCAACTTCGGTTGCCAAGGGTTTTGCGCCCTTACCACTTGTTACTGCACCAACGATTGTAGACCCAGCGCCATGGATAAGATAGAGACTGGGCTGCCCCGCGCCTTCTCCCGTAGGCGATGTGGTGTGCGCGGGCGCTGTGGTTCACGCAGGCAAAGTGGTGCACACCGGCGCTGTGGTGTATACAGGCGTTGTGGTGTACGCAAACGCTGTGGTGCACGCAGGCACTGCGGTGTACACCGACGCTGTGTTGGACGCGGTTGCTGTGGTGTACACAGGCGTTGTGGTGTACGCAGGCGTTATGGTGCACGCGTGTAGAATTTTCAGGCGCCCCACTTTCCATAGAGACTCTTGTAAAACATGTACATACAATTTATGTTTTTTTGTGGAACTCAGGGGCGCCCCATTTTCCATCGGGATTCATTTATCAAACAAACGTGTTCTGCTGAATCCAGAGGCGCCCCGCTGTTCATAGCGATTCCTTTTGAACCTCAATCTGTAAAATTGGAGTTCTGTGGAATCCAGAGGCGTTTTATTTTCCATAAGGGTTCCTTTTCTAATCCTATTGTAAACAACGGTTGTCTGTAGAATCCAGGGGCGCAATCTTATATTCAGGATTTCCTGTATGCGGAATTTTGAGGTGATCCAGTTTCACGCTGCTGGCGTTCTGGTGCACGCAGGCAATGCGGTGTACACGGGCGCTGTTGCACGCACAGCTGCTGCAGAATACGCAGGCACTGCGGTTTGCAAAGGCGACGTGGTGCTGCAGTGCACGCGGCTATTGTGGTGTACGGAGGCACTGTGGTGTGTACACAGGTGCCGCTGTGTTGCACACAGGCATTGGCCATCGTCGTGTACACAGGGAGTGCGGAGCACGCAAGCGATTGATGCGCCGGTGGCGCGGACGCACCCTGGCGGGCGCACGCCGCGGCCGCCTTTACCGTTACCCTCCCGCCCGACCCCCCTCCGCGGTCAACGGCCGTTACCCACGAATGAGAAAAAAAATCATTGATGCGCGGAGCGCGCCAGGGGGGGTCCATGGCCGATCCAACAAATCCGCGCGGACCTCCGACAGTTCATGCTTATGTTTCTATTCGTTCTTCTAGGACAAGGACGAGTAGCAGCGGGTTGGAGAAAGGGAGACTCTGACGACAAAGTGGCTCCCGAGAGAGGCGCCCGCACCCCTCGGACGGGTTCCTGGGACCTCAAACCGTTGGGAAGGCAGCGACCTGGGTGCGACCGAGGATGACGACCAGGGGGCAGAACCAAGGTCCCGCAGGCCTCCTAGGGTCATGATGTTCCAACCCACTTTAGCCTTGATCATCATAAAGAATTTCGACTGAAACTGGGGGGGGGTTCGCGTGCCGGGCCCTGGGATGCGATACTCGTTCGACTCTGTTTCGATACTTTTCTCGGTGCTCGACAGTATCTCTGGGACGTGGTCCCTAAGTGCGATGGGAGCAACATATTCTTTGGGCTGGGCGCGGAGAGCCGCCAGGGGGCACGATGTCACGATGCTTGTGCCTCGGGCCCCCCCAAGCGGTGTGCTGACCACACCGCATAGTTTTGGGATTCGGGTCGTTCTCCGAGGGCGTCTCGGGCATCCTTGGCCCCCGAGGTCCCAAGACCGTGCGGTGACGGACCGCGCGGTGAGGTCGTCGGGGATTCGGAGGTCAACACGCGGCCCGTCGCCACACTGTTGGGGGGCCGGTTCGCGGCCGAGGCTCGCCGTGGCTAGGAATCTGGACGCCCGACATGGGTACGGAAAGAATGGGTACAATGCCCAACAGCAGCTCTTGCTCATTTTGAAGTGGACTCGCTGTCCACGCCGCCGCGGCCTGTGTCCATTCGAGACAGAAGGCCGCCTGCCCAACAGCGGCCGCTGTTGGTTTGGGACAACACTTGTTGTTGGGCATTGTACCCATTCTTGCCGTACCCATTCCGGGCGTCCAAAATTGTGGGGGAGCCGGTTCGTGGCCGAGGCTGGCCGTGGCCAGGAAGTCTTCTTGTCCTTCCTCATCTCGTGCTCCCCACTGCAGCACGGTGGCTGGTCGACCACTGCCTCGTCCCCGTCGCCGCGTCCGTGCGCGGCCAGGGGAGCTGGTCGGGATGCCGGAGCCGGCAGGGCCTCTGGAACGAAAAACACATGCCTGCTTCGATGTAATTAATCGTAGATCCCCCGCGGCGGGTCCAGGCCATTTGCGAGTAGTTACTTTGCGAGTAGTGGAACGCCGAACGCGCTCGTCTAGAGCAGGCGCCGCCTCGACAGCGAGGCTGTTGAGCGGGGGCGATTGGCAGCTTCGGCCCCCAGCCGACATTGCGGCGCGCGCGGCGCGACGAGTCTGCGGCCACCTGCGAACCGCAATTATACCTGCGGGTCCACTCGGTGCGTTCGGTAGCAATTGTCAGTTTGTTGTTAATAGCAGTGGCAACAGGAAAGGTAAGTAGCGGCAGAAGGATGAGCGAGCGGATGCAGAGTATGTATGTTCAGAGGAGCTTTCTTCATCGGAGGTCTCCCCGTCTGTTGAGACCGAGCAGCCACAGCGATGGGCGCGCGAAGGAATCCTCGGGGTGTCTGAGCTCCACATCCACTACAATCGACGTGAGCCATTACTGCGAGGAGGATATTATGCTCCCGCTGCTGGTGTCCAGATTGCAGTCCGTTTCGTATGTCAAGTGCCTTCATTGCCAAGTGTCTCACTGCTGCTGTAGTTGAGTTGAACTGCCTGGCTCGGGCTACTGTCAGTACTTGCTGCTGGGAAGATTCACAACATCGCTGGCTTGTTCGTATGTAAAGAATCTACATATGCGGAAGCAGGATGCGGACGCAGGACGACATGGCGATATATGCTCACGGGGATATGGTTACGGTGTTGCCAATACTCTTGCTACCTGAACGAAAAAGTGCTACGTATATGTGCCAACATCTCCTCGCGTGGCCCAGACTTCTCTGAATTGGATGTGTCCGTGGATCAACAGTTAGGTTCACACGTTTCGAAGTCCAAGCTTTGTCCCAATTTAGGGGAGGAGTATCCCTCTGTCCTAGATATTGTGCAGATTCAGCCCATGCGGCTTGACAGCGTGTCTTTTACATGTGCGCCTCAGTCGCGGTCGTCGCCCAGGTGTCATATGTACAGTCAGGGTGTGTGCCATGTAGTCTTGTCGCATACACACAATTATACGCATGCAGAAGACAAGTTGCACCGTCGCGCGAGTCCGACATCGCGTTCGGGCGGGCGCCTGGAGGGGTGTGTGGGGATAGGGGGTGGGTGCTGCGGGACATGTCACCTGTACCTTGTGATGTTAGAACTATGCGCATGGATTTCGGTCAAACAGAGCACCGCATGTTGGGCTTGATGTTGCGGGGTTCTTGATCATTGCTTCGCCAGGAGCGCAATTGATTTCAAAGAGACGAATGCTTCACTCACACACGCAAGCACCAACCGCTGTAAGGGCCGTAGCGGATGGATTGTTTTTCAGCATGTTTCATGCACGGAAATCATTGGTTAACACGTGGTTCAGTTGGTTGACGCGAGAGTTTCGCGTACAGACAACATTGCACGTTTGTTTTCGTTTTGGATTCGTTTAGTGTTGTAGCAATTTGGTCGTAGTAGGCTTGGTCGCTATCTAGGTTCGAATGGACAGGGAGGTCCAAATGTCTGCGATACTGTCTGCGAGTTCCCGACAAGTTTCCCAGTCCCATCCGCGTGTTCTCAACCTTGGTCGTGCGATTCCCAACCTCGGTTTGTTTTTTTGGCAACGAGTCTCCCAGTTAGGGCCCGAGCGAAGGACGGTGTGCAACTCTGGTCCCTGTTGCGATTGCGTTACCTCGCCCTTTCGCTCGTCCTCGTCCCGCTCTTTCTATTCCGCTTTGCACAGCCTCACCCCAAACAAGTGAGAAGTATTGATAATGATAGGTTGCAGGATTTCCATGTCTTTTGTCGTGCTTCCGCCGTCAGAAACGAATGACCGAGTACGAAATGCCAAGGGCCGCTAGAAATAATGGAACTTCCACTTGACCGAATGCCCCGGATAAGACAGGACCTCCGTCCCAACCATTGGGAGTTGAGTATCCCAGGCCAAGACCGTTGGTCGAGAAAAAAGGCCGCGAGGTCGAACTTCACTATCGCCGGGGAAATGACGAGTCGAATTTTTTTTTTCAGCCTCGTATGTTGGGTAGCGTACGATTCATCCTACATCCTCCTACTTCTCCTTTTACTACTATTATTCTAGAGTCCCAGGGGAGTGGAGGTTATGAGGGAAGCGGGGGAGCATGCAGAAGAACAGAGGGCGGGGTGAGCCGCCATATACCCCAAGAGGGGGAGGATGTAGGAGGAGCCGTCGTCGTCGGAGTAGGAGGAGGAAGAGGAGGAGCAGGAGGAGGAGCAGGAGGAGGGAGGAGGAGGAGGAGGAGGAAGATAAGGAGGAGGAGATGGAGGACTGCGAGGACGAGGAGGACGAGAAGGAGGAAAAGGAAAAGGAGGAGGAGGAGGAGGAGGAGGAGGAGGAGGGGGAGGGGGAGGAGGGAGGAGGAAGAAAAAGAGGAGGAGGAGGAGGACAATGGCGAGCTTGGGGGCCTCTTGGGCCGTCTTTGGAGCCTCTTGGCGGTCCCGGGGGCCTCTTGCGTATCTCGGGGAGCCTCTTGTGGCCTCTTGGGGGTCTCTTGGGGGCCTCTTGGAGGCCTCTTGGGGGCCTCTTGGGGCCTCTTGGGGCTCTCTTGGGGCGCTCTTGGGGCGCTCTTGGGAGCTTTCGAGGCGCTCTTGGGGCCATCTTGGAGGAGATCTATCAAAGAAGGGGGGGTCCTCAATTAGCGCTGCCCCTCTAGAGTGCCTCGAATCGCTTCTTGGGCCCTTCTTGAGGCCAAAATCTTTCCAAAACCTAGGTAAAATCAATGTTTTGTGTTTTCTCGCCTTTTCGCTCTTGGAGCCGTCTTGGGCCGTCTTGGGAGCCTCTTGGGCCTCTTGGAGGTCTCTTGGGAGCCTTTTGGAGGCCTCTTGGGCGCCTCTTGGGGCCTCTTGGGGCGCTCTTGGGGCGCTCTTGGGGCGCTCTTGGGAGCCTTCGGGGCGCTCTTGGGGCCATCTTGGAGGAGATCGATCAAAGAAGAGGGGGTCCCCAATTAGCGTTGCCCCTCTAGAGTGCCTCGAGTCGCCTCTTGGGCCCCCCAAGAGGCCAAAATCCTTCCAAAACCTAAGGAAAATCAATGTTTTTTGCTTTCTCGCCTTTTCGCTCTTGGAGCCGTCTTGGGCCATCTTGAACTCTCTTGGGGCCTCTTGGGGGTCTCTTGGCAGCCTCTTAGAGGCTTCTTGGGGGCCTCTTGGGGTCTCTCGGGGCCCTCTTGGGGCGCTCTTGGGGCGCTCTTGGGAGCCTTCGGGGCGCTCTTGGGGCCATCTTGGAGGAGATCTATCAAAGAAGGGGGGAGCTCCAATTAGGGTTGCCCCTCTAGAGTGCCTCGAAGCGCCTCTTGGGCCCCCCCAAGAGGCCAAAATCCTTCCAAAACCTAGGAAAATCAATGTTTTGTGCTTTCTCGCTTTTTCGCTCTTGGAGCCGTCTTGAGCCATCTTGGGCGCCCTGACACCTCGCGAGACGCCTCGTCCAGGTCAGTGGGGAGGGGTAAGGGGAGGGGTAAACCCCTCCCCGAAGGGAAAGAAGGGGGGTTGGCAGAGGAAACGCTCTAGACCACCTACGCCCTAAAGGGCTGGTGGGATTATTGTTGCGTCTGGGACTATGACTACGACTACCCGTACCACCCTTACCATTGCGATGAATATTGTTATCAGTATTACTATTTCTATCACTACTACTACTACTACTACTACTACTACTACTACTACTACTTCTACTACTTCTACTACTACTACTGCTGCTGCTGCTACTACTACTACTTCTACTACGACTACTACTACTACTACTAGTAGCATTACTACTCGTACGACTGCTGCTACTACTATTACTACTACTACTGCTACTACTACTACTACTACCACTACTATTACTATCATTATTACTACTACTACTACTACTACTACTACTACTACGGCTACTACTACTACTACTACTACTACGATTACTATTACCCATGGTGCTACTATTGGTTTCTTCATTCGTCTCTTATTACGAATAATATTATTATAACGATTCCCACCCCATACTCTTACCCTCACTCTTACTACTACTACTACTACTACTACTACTACTACTACTACTACTACTACTACTACTACTACTACTACTACGACTACTACTACTACTACTACTACTACTACTACTACTACTACTGCTACTACTACTACTACTACTACTACTACTACTACTACTACTACTACTACTACTACTACTACTATTACTGCTACTCCTACTACTACTGCTACTACTACTACTACTTCTACTACTACTACTACTACTACTACTAATACTACTACTACTATTACTACTACTACTACTACTACTACTACTACTATTATCATTATATAACCAGTTATTGTATTATTGCTACGACAACGCCTACAAGTAAATTTCGGTGACTACAGTTGCATAGCTTGTACCGCGGCTGCTACGACGACCACTGTTATTATCATCGCTTCTACTTCTACTACTACCACTACTACTACTATTACTACTACTACTACTACCACTACTACTACTACTACTGCTGCTACTACTACTACTACTACCACTACTACTACTACTACTACTACTACTACTACTGCTGCTGCTGCTGCTGCTACTACTACTACTACTACTACTACTCCTACTACTACTACTACTACTACTACTACTACTACTCCTACTACTACTACTACTACTACTACTACTACTACTACTACTACTACTACTACTACAACTACTTCTCAAGTCCAAAGTGTGGTCGTTTCTTTTTTTTGGGGGGGCGCGCAGAAACAAAAACACCCCCTCCCCTCCCACCCACTCATTCGCACACTCGCATCATCATCATCATCATCATCACCATCATCACCGCATCTTCATCACGCACATACTCGCACACACTCTGTCTCTACCGCACTCGCTCACTCACAATTGCTACTCATCACTCAGCACCACCGCCACTATGCCAACACCATCGTCAACATCGTCATTCTCTCTCACACACACACACTTACACACTCGCCCGCCCAAGTTGACGGGGTCTCAGGCGAGAGCCTCGGCTGTGAGGCATCATCGTCAACATCGCCTTTATCACACACACGCACACTTGCCCACACACTCGCACATTCATCGTGACGAGGTCTCAGGCGGGAGCCTCGACGAGGTCTCAGGCGGGAGCCTCGGCTGTGAGCGAACACCATCACCATTTCCACTGTCATTATCGTCTACACCAACATTGGAGGAAGTATCAGACAGGAGCCTCGTCTGTGAGTGGATGCGAGGATGTCTCAGGCGGGAGCCCCTTTCCTTTAGGGGGCTCGCCGCTTGCGTTTTTTTTGTTTTTTTTGTTTTTTTCATCCGAGCGGGTTATCAGGACCGTGTAGTTGTACTCCTGGTTTGACCCCTGAGGCCTGAACATGGAGGAAGTTGCAGGCGGGAGCCCCGTCTGTTGAGTGACTTGCGAGGAAGTCTCAGGCGGGAGCCCTCTCCCTATGGGGCTCGCCGCTTTTTTCATACAAA